TGTAGTGTTCGTGAGTCATGATCATTATTTCATATTATATAATTCGTACAATTTTAACCTTCGCGGATGCGTTTTTTTATGTTATCGATGTATCGAACTGTGTCTACTACTATACGTTAATTGAATAGCTGGTGTATCGTGTATGTTTTCACGACAGTCGGTAAAACTTAAAACAAATAAAAGCCAAAAATTACAGAGAAAAAAACAGTTGTGAAATGACGCGTCTAGCGTCTGTCTACTATTATAGGTGGGTATAGTTAGGTTAGCCTATACTTTTGTTTTTGGCAAACACCGTGTCCATCAGCACTAGGGAGCGAAATGTTTTAGTGCTATTCGAATACAATTTGCATAACAAACAAGACTAAATAATGTTTTTTTTCTTGTGGCATTTGTCACTATAATGGCGACCTGGTCGTGTGTCACATTTTCGGAACCATACTATACCTATACCTATAGATATATTATCATAACATGATGCCCTGCTTGTACTCGTACGCACTATATTCAACATAAATGTATATTGTGCGCAAAATGTAGCACTTGGGTAAACCCACTGCAGGCTACTGTCCAAACATTAAATTATATTTAAAAATGCATATTCATGTGTAATTGTTTGCAGGGAAAAAAAAATGAAACGTGACAAAAGCAGAGGCGGACTAGCCTGACTTTTGTATATAAAAGAGGAAAAAAACATAAGGGTACAAAATAGATCCGACCCTCCGAAATGAAGAATTAAAATGCGACTAAACACCTGAACCCTTTTTTTTTATAGACGTGAAAACGAAACGGAGGAGATTTATAAGCCATTAATCAAAATTTGGGGTGGACGGCCGAATGTGATAGCCTATTTATWTATATATACGTAACATTTAATAGGGTGTGTTTATAATGTTTCAAACCCTATAGGTCCCTATATAATATATACGCGCTCACACTTGCCACGTCGATAAATGATTTTGAAAAATTATTTACGTGGTCCTTACATTATATTATTATAAATGGCTAATATGATATTGTATTATATTTCACTTTSAATAATACTAAAGCCTATGCATTATGTATATACTACTATATACTGTATATGGACGCATATATATATAGTGTTAATTGTTGTAAAATATATTTCATTGATTTATAATTTCTTCTATACCATCGTCACATGCTGTGAAGAAATATTGTGAACTTAAATTGATCATCGATCGGCTATCGCCAACATAATAGATATTAAGATATATATACATATAACAGTATTAAATACGACAATGTTTATTATAACATAACATCAAACGTGTTACTATATATAGATGGTACTCGTATARACACATTGTATCTGTATCAGGGCCGTATTTAGGAATTTGACACCAAGGGGCATCAAAAAAAATACGCCTCATTAATCATTATACTGCAAAATACAAATTTAAATTATAAAAAAATTAGCCGCCCTCTCCTACTCAGCCACCCGGGGCAACAGTACCCTGTAGGCTGTAGCTCCCCCCTAATACGGCCCTGATCTGTATGTATATAATATAATACGTGTTATTGATTTTATCGTTATATAATATATTGTCATTATAAATTGTTAAATGTGAATCGAAAGTATGAAAAACAATAATATATTCGCTCACCCAAACACTCCAACTGCCACAGCCGCTTCTCGAATCACTCGTTCATGGTCCATGTCAGCTAGATTTTCCGGACGTATGGTTGCCGTGTTTCTTGGCTGGCGTTCGTTTTGAACAGCTGTATATACAATGACAACAGCATAAATTAGTCTTGTAGGTAGAGTACTTAATAGTGTTTCAWTCGCGCAGACATAATTATTAAAGAATTAATGTTTTACACTTTTACATGCAATACTGTAATTTTAGTATTTTACAGTTGAGTTCAATCCACCCAAATTTTATMTAATTCGGTCTGAAAAAACTTAATCGAGTTCGAAAAACAACCCAATTAAGTAAATAAAAATAATACCTAATTGAGTAAAAAAAAAAAAACTTTTCCGTTCTGTTTAATAGATTACTTAAGATTACCGAGCAGTCATTACTGCCTGCAGTCTGTGAGTACGCAATATGTCAACGAATTATAGTTGAAATAATATCAAATGCTAAAAATTGAATTTACAGTGAAACTTTTATACAACGAACTTCCATTTAACGAATTTTTCTAAATTACAATTTTTTTTTTGTTACTCATAGCGACTTCGTTATATGAAAGTTTCAATGTAATTATTATAATAACTAATTAAATATATGAAATGTATTTTACAGCGATTTTTTAAACTTTTTAAATTTATTGTATTATTATTATTATTATTGGTATTTTGTGCGATAATTATTTTATTTCATAAAGTGAATGGCTGCATTGTGAAAACATTCCACTCCAAATTGGAGWGACCATTTCATGAAAATATTAATTTCACGAATTGGCTATTACGGTATATTTTAGATCTCACGTGTGGACCGCGACTTAATTATTTTTACCTAAAATAAATGTGAAATAATCTTTCATTGTTTTATTCGTTACCGCAATATATTATAATAAAGATGGCGATTCTATCATGCGTATAATATGTGCATTGTGYACTAATTAAATCGACCGGTGCGATGGTGCAGCGAACTCGTACCTAGTTCATTTACAGTGACATGTGTTAGCATCGTAACGTAATGTCACCAAATTAGTGGACAATTATATTGTGTAACATAGAAATTTTAAATATTTGTTATGTATTATAATAACATTATGATGCATAAATCTATTATAGTATACTGTTGCAGTAAAACGAAGTGTTTCTTTTTTGAAACGAGAAATAGACACGTAGATTGACGTGATTAGTATACAAACTTAATGATAGTGTTATAGTCGATTGTCGGTACTTAATAATTTCATATATACATTTTATATTTAATTTGTTATTATAATAATTATAGTGAAACTTTTACACAACGAAGTCGTACCTATAGAGAACATTAAAAAAAGTAATATAGAGAAAATCATTAAATAGAATTTCCATACAATGAAGGTCTCAAACATAATTCGTTAAATAAAAAAAATGTCTTATAATAATAATTATTATTGTTTATATCATAGTTATTTAAAGTAAACAAGATTATATATTATTTATTTATTTAGTGGGTATTATTATACAAGGTTTTATACATATTAAAATAACTCTTTGATGRTGTAGGTAGTTGTAGAATTTATATTAGGCATATTTAAAGATCAGCTAAGTTACAGATTGTATTATTTAGTTCATACTTTAAAGGTACCTTATATTTATGTGAACTTCTTTTTTAAATTTTGAAAAATAATTGTTTTGTTTTTTTAATATTTAATATGACTTAATATAACTGTCTTAAGTCTTAATTTATTATTATAGGTATACATTATGATGGTATATTTTAATTTAGTTAGTTAAAAATATTGTATGACACGAATGAATAATTATTAATTAAACTGTGTGGTATTGTGATAAAAGTTTTATTTCATAAATTGAATGTCCACAATAACTTTGTGAAAGAATTACTTGATTTCAAATTGAGTGACCATTTGTTTGTGGTGAATTATTTTTTAGACATTTCATATAACACACAGTGTGATAAAGACGTAACTTTTTT